ACGTTGGGCTGATCATTTTCTGCATAAAATCCATTTAGACTGTGCTGCTGTCTTGCTGCTCTTACTGTTTCTGTTGTATGTCTTCACCGCTACAACCATCGATCTGTTCACCGCTGCAGGTGCCGAAGTTGTGTACGTGGGCTCGCCCTTCAGTCATCTTATCATTGGCTGCCTGTGTGTTAAGTTGTATGTTTCTTTACTTTGTTTTTGGTTAGTTTGGATGTTGATTATTGTGAAATGTGTGTGTTAAGTTGCAACGTTGTTGCCCTGTGATTTGTGAACTTGTTTTGTCTACAAGTTAGTGTTCCTTTGTGGTGAGTGTTTGGTATCACCAACCACTCTGAATTTTGTTATTAGTTGTGTCTAGTATCATTTGTTTAGTGTGTTCATTAATCTTGTTTTTGTTTATTTTAGGCTGATGGACCCCGGGTTGGGAGGCTAGCTTTTCTTGCCTTCTGGTGGTGGTACTTCAAGCACTTAGTGTGGTTTGCCGCTTGTAACCACTTATACCTCACTGGGCGTGCGTGTGTGTGTGCGTGTGGCTTTTGAATTAGATACTTAGCTAGCCTACCCCACTACGGGTGAGCCTCAGCCATCTTAACAGTTATTTATTTTTATTTTCTCATTTATCGTGTGTGTGGATGAACAGTGTGGTACGAGTCGTGTGTGTGTGACATTCTGCCTTTATAGTGACCAGAAAGTTTTACCTATTGATGTGAATTTAATAAATTAACTTTTGTACTGATATCCACGTCTCTTTGCCGTCCATGGTAACGAACCTGTGTGCCCTATTTACATTGGGTAGTTATTTCCCCTCTCTCTGAAGAGGGGTGGCGTAGTCAGCCTGTTATTTATTTACCACTATACGATTTGGTCTTTCCAACCGTTTATTCCCCCCGCCAACGCTACAGAAGGATGGAAATGTAGAAGTATGCGTCCTTGAGATCTATCGTGACAATCCGGTCCTCGGATCTGATCTGTGGCACGATTTGTCTCAGTGTTAACATTTTGAACTTTAGCTGAATGACTGTCTCGTCCAAAACTCTCAGATCCAAAATGGGACGCGACCCCCCATCCTTCATGGAACGATGAAACACAGACTGTAAAACCCGGTGTCCCTGCTGGAGGAGGTACATGTTCTATGGCTCCTTTTCCAAACTTTCATTGCAAGCATGAGTTTTAAAAAAATTCACAGATTCATTTGTAGTTAAAATCATCAGCCATATCACTCTGTAACCCAAGACTGGCCCACTGAAGCTAAGCAGGATTGAGTCTTGATGGGAGACGTCCTGGGAAAACTAGGTTGCTGCTGGAAGAGGTGTTAGTGAGGCCAGCAGGGGGCGCTATAACACTATAACACCCCGGCACAGTGACGGGGACACTGTCAAAGAGCACCGTCCTTCAGATAAGATGTTAAATCGAGGTCCTGACTCTCTGTGGTCATAAAAAATCCCAATGTGTCTTTTGTGGAAAAGAGTAGGGCTGTAACCCCGGCATCCTGGCCAAATTTGCCCATTGACCTCTGTCCATCACAGCCTCCTAATCATGCTTATATACTTCATCACTCTGTCTCTCCATCAGTACGCTGGTGTGTGGTGGGCGTTCTGGTGCATTATGGCTGCCATCGCATCATTGTGGATGGTTGAGGAGATCCACGATCATCCAATCAAATCCCCACGGACAAAATCCCGCCCCGCCCTTCATTTGTTCTTGTGCCAGAAGCGTTTCACTCGATTATACCAAAGTCCCTTTCAAGGAAAGTCTGTTCACTCTGTGGCCATATTTGCAACTCCTCCGGTTAGCATTTTCGAGCATGACCCTTAATTTTCACAGACTGTGATGTTGGTTTTAACATCCATAAGCATCGTAAATCATGCAAAGTGTTTAATATTTCCTTTCTTTTTCAAATGTACATTTATAACACTATATGTAGTATTGTTTTGCATCAAATTACAAAAAAACTAGTTAATGCCGTTACGCTGCTGTGAGGGTGTTTCTAATGGCTGTGGGAGTGATGGTAAAGTTGACATCTTTCTCTCTTCTGACTGCCATTAACAATCTAAAAAAAAAATCCTCTTTTTATAAACTGTTGTTGAGTTATTCTTTTGCTATTTGAGCAAATGGGAACACAAAAAATATGTAATGTATATGCTCATTCACCACTGTAGACCCAGCTATTTTACCCAGCTATTGACTTCTGCTTCTGAGAAACCCAGAAATGTGAAAAGGGTCCATAAGAGTGAATCGTCTTTCTATATCTATATTTCTTGATTATACGTCACAACAGGGAGGAAGAGACTAGAGGAACTTCTATATCATGTCGACTTTAAAGTTGCAAAATAAGTCAATAATTAAACTAATACAATTTCAGCTGTAAAGCAATAGTGTCATTATTCAGCTCAAATGAGTTCAGTGTTGATGCAAGTTTGTTAAATAACAGTTTTAATGTTGCAAAGTTCATCAGAAGCTAACTCAATTCAAGTATAAAGCAAAAATTATATATTATAAAATGGGATAGTGATGAAGTGAGGATAGCACATCATTATGAATGATAAAAAAATATGCCTATGATTATTGTAAGTTTTTAAAGTACACACTTATTGGCGAATCATGATGATTACATGATTTACTTGATGTTGTGTTTGACAGGATGAGAAGAACGAGCTCCTGAACTTTCATCTACACCATCATTTAAATAAAGGATGTGTCCATTTGCATATTGACCAGATCCTCAGTGTGTGAGAGTGTTTATAGTGCTGTGAGTTTAACACTTCATCACTGACACACACAACAATCTTCATCAACATGACCTTCATCATCATCTTCATCTGGACTCTCACAGCGTTTGCTCAAGGTTTGTGGAGCACAAGTTTGATATCAATTAATTTCTTCAAGTATATTGTCAAAGTTTTGAGTGTATTTTCTTCTTGTTGTGTTTCAGAGTGTAGAGGACAGATCACCGTCACTCAGAGTCCCTCAATAACAGCAGAACAACCAGGAGGAACTGTGAATATCAAATGTAAAACCAGCAGAGATGTGTACAGTGTTGGTTCTGTTTATATCTTATCCTGGTACTTACAGAAACCTGGAGAAGCTCCTAAACTCCTGATTTATCAAGCAAATGTCCGCCAGTCAGGAACTCCATCTAGATTCAGTGGCAGTGGATCTAACAGTGATTTCACTCTGAGCATCAGTGGAGTCCAGACTGAAGATGCTGGACATTATTACTGTCAGAGTTATCACAGTGGTTATGTGTTCACACAGTGATAAAGAGTCGTACAAAAACCTCGGTCAGTCAGAGTCACAGTGACTGAACTGAAACTGCAGCTGCTCAAAGGAGGATCTGAAATAACATCGTCACACTTGCATCTGAAATAAAACCATATAAATTAATCTGACACTAATAATTAATAATTATACAGGTCAGAAGTCAAAGACTTACTTGAGAGAAACAACTAAAAACTCCATCAATGTCTCTGTCAGAGTCTCTATCAGAATCGGTTTTATTGATTTTTTTTATTATTTGTGTCTTTTCCTTCTCTTACACTTTAAATTGTTTAGTTTGTTCTGCAGGGTTTTGTGTTCATTCTCATATTCCTACTTTCTGGAGAATATAAATGTGTTGCCAGTGGCGGATTTAGCAAATTGGGGGCCCAAAGCGAAGGTACGTATGGGGGCCCCCCCATCCCATCTTTATGAGAACGGGAAAAAAAATTACTGACTGAATGGTAGGAAAAGCTAATCTAGGGGGAAGTAAATGTTGGAGAGGAGAAAAAAAACCTTCCCAACAGAGAATAAGGTTTCAGATAACACCTGTCTTTGCCAAAATGCCAGGAAACCCAGCACTGTTTATTCTTTTTTTAAGATCAAATTAATATCAATATAACCAGCAAGACAAGTAGTTAGGGTAAACCCCCACAAACAGCCATATACTTAGCAAATATTGCCAAGATGAATAATTGACTTTGTATGAGTGAGTGAGGTTGCAATTGGCATTGCACATGAGATTGACATTTAAAACATTCTACAAACAAACGTTTTTATAGGTTTGTATTAGTTTATATATTTTATAATGTAATAATTTCACAGTTAATCTACAAATGAATGTAGAGACAACATAAAGACAGTATATTTTAAATACTTGTTTAATGGCATCTTTTTATGAATGAAGGTCATTATCACTGATACTAATACAGCTAATGATGTCTGGATAAAACTGATTTTTTCCCCTAATTTTAAACATTAATTATAGCCAGCCAGCCATCCAACATTACAGTGTAATTGAAAGCCAAAAAATTTACATTTTGTTAGGCTTCAAAAAATATTTAACAACTTTTAATTTTCGTGAACTTAAAACAATCATCAGATAAATCCATAATAAATGTCATATTTACTTTCGCCCTTTCAGTCTAACAGTATAACTTACACGTTATCCTCAACTAGCGTCACTTCACAGCTGCTGCTGTAGCGGCATGTGTCCCCAACAGTAGGCTTAAAAAAGTTTGTCATTTTTGGCAGCGTTGCCAAATACATATCGGCGTCTTTTGTCTTTTTTTTCTTTTATTTGAGCCGCTTGGGTAACTTCGTTTCATTCACGCGTTTAGACTCGTCTTGCTTCGTTGTGTACTTCCCAGTCCTCCTGTCATGTTTATCTTTCGCGGTTTCGCGCCGCGCGCCGTTCGGACTAGTCCATTTTATTGCGAAAGGGGTGTTATGTGTAGGGACAGATAACCATGAACTGCATTTTAACTACTACTTCAACATTTCAACGTATATCTTAAGAATATTAATAACATTTGCTATGCGTTTGAAGCGTTCATGATGATAAGGGGCTTTTTCTTTTCTTTTATATATATTTTTTTGAGGTTGGTTGGGGGGCCCCCCTACTAGACCGCTGGTAGGGGGCCCCAAGCAGCCGCCTACCTATGCCTCTATGTTAAGACCGCCACTGTGTGTTGCAATCTGGACTGAGTGAATCTGCTCAGCTGTGAGATTTTGTGCTTTTATATATCAGTGACATGATTGAGATCGAGTGATTTCAGTTTGTCCATTACCGCCTTATATTAATAATAGACTTTCATTTTCATAGTTAAAAAGTCAAATCATGAAACAATAAAGGCATAGAAATGTGTATCTAAAAACTGAAGTGTGATGCTACTGTTCTTGGAGAATTACTAAACGTTAATTTATGGTGTAAAATTGTGTTTTCAGAGCCTTCAAGCACTGTCACAACTTCATCTTGACCTGTGACCTCTGAGATGACCTCTGACCTCTGCCAATCCAGATTTCGTCATAATGCCTCTGTCACTCATATGCAGCTCAATTTTCATAATTAACAGATTCAGACAAATGAAGGATGCACAGGTGTATCATGCGGAAGAAGAAGAAACTGACATGCGTATGAACTCTCCCCTTCACATCTGTCACAATCATTTCATTTATGTTTTTCCTTTGCAGTTTAAATCAATCATACATCTCACATATTTCAACAGGACATCTTGCTTTATTGTCATTTATTATGAATTTCTTAACCAAACTTAAAAACATAAGCACAAATTCCTTGAGCGCAGCTGATGACGCTTTAAAGGGACGATCGAGAGATTAAGAAGATTATAATATACTAATAATTCATCCTTCGATTCCTCATCCTCATGTTTACTTTCTCCCAACATCCATTTCTGTGCCATTGCTGAACGTGAATAACAATGATGCAAACTAATATGAGTTGAGTGAAAGTTTTAATTGTGATGTGTGTCAGTTCTGCTCTTCTGTCAGTGACTGTGTCACATTAGAGAGGAAACGGCTTTGAATGTGTGTGTCCCTCCCCTGTGACTGAAGCTCAATATCAGAGCGTCTGTCCGACTGTAAATCCCACATCTCTGTCCTTCAGCTTCACTCATTCCCAGTAAAGATGACGATACACACACTGATCTTCTGCTCTCTGCTGCTGCTCCTCAACGGTGACTCTCACTTTCACTGCATTTACTACTTTACATTGACTTGTTTTAGCAAAGATCATTCATTTATTCTGGTGATTTTTTTCTCGTTGTGTGTTTCAGAGTGTAGAGGACAGATCACCGTCACTCAGAGTCCCTCAATAACAGCAGAACAACCAGGAGGAACTGTGAATATCAACTGTAAAACCAGCACAGATGTGTACAGGAGTGGTTCTGTTGATTTCTTAGCCTGGTACTTACAGAAACCTGGAGAAGCTCCTAAACTCCTGATTTATTACACAAACCACCTCCAGTCAGGAACTCCATCTAGATTCAGTGGCAGTGGATCTAACAGTGATTTCACTCTGAGCATCAGTGGAGTCCAGACTGAAGATGCTGGACATTATTACTGTCAGAGTTTACATGTCATCAACAGTAATTATGTGTTCACACAGTGATAAAGAGTCGTACAAAAACCTCCGTCAGTCAGAGTCACAGTGACTGAACTGAAACTGCAGCTTTCACACTCAACAGTGTGGATATTAATGGATATTAAATTAATCATAAAGTTTTCATTTAATTTTTTACATGCTAAATACTTTCATCTATAACACTCTTAATCTTATATTTATCTAACACTATATCTATAATTCGTCCGCATGTTCTTGTTTCATCATGTTTCTGCAGGTGTTTTCACGCTCCACTGACTGAAGTTTATTTATCAAATGTGAGCTAAAGCCCTGATCTAATGAAAGACCTGAAACAAAAATGACACAAAGAACTCAAAGACACAATTATATTTTACTTAATGACTGAATTTTAAGAAAGTCACACACACATATTTTTCAGAATGTTTCACATTAATTAAGAAGTACATTAAAACTACAAAAACTGCGAAAAGACTGTTGTGTGTAAATGTAACATCTTTTAAGCTCTCAGCAATCACAATTTAAAGTTTTATTAAGCAATAATGATGAAATTAAGAATTTTATTTTGGTTAAATAAGTTAGAAAATGAATCTTTTGACAGAAAAAAAACCTCAATGACAGTGTATTGCAAAGCTCTGGCGTTCACACACACATCCCGGTGCCAGTCGGTGGCGCTGGAGAGACTGGAGCTGAAACAGTGTGTAGAACGCCAGCCGCTGCTCTTGGACACTCAACATCAATTAATTATCAATTCATTAATTATTCTTAATTTCAAACCCTGGTTGTATAAAATTCTGTTATCAAAGCCCCTCAATCATTCTGAAGGCCATGACTCAAGCTCTTTCAGTGAGACGCTGCTGTATCAACACTGTCGGATGACCGTCCTCCGCTGAGCAGAATCAGGATCTGTGACAGTGAAGGACAGTAAAGGACAGTAAAAGATAGTAAAGACACTGTCTCTGATGGACTGGAGAGCTGCGTCTGCTCAGGAGTTTCCCTCCTTTGTGCCTCATTTCTCCAACAACATCAAGAATGTCTTCCTTTCCCATGTAAGAAATGGACGTCTACATCTCGGCTGTACTGGACCAGAGAAACACAATCTCTGTTCTCAGAGACTTCCGATCTCTCCACAACAAACTCTTTCAGGAAACTCATTTCTAGTGTCATCCGAGGCATCCAGCAGGAAGACAACATCTCTAACCGGTCTAAGATCCTGAGAAACACACATCACGGGTCAGATTGTAAAGCAATGATTAAACTGCATTTAAGCATCAGCTGTTATTGAGCATCAGTTTTACAGAATCTACTGAAAAATACAAATAAGAGTCCAAAATAAATAGCACATTCAAGCCTATTTTCTTCAAAAATAAAAAAGTAAGAAAGTAAGTAAAAAAAAAAAAAAAAAGTAAGGGAGAGAATCAATTACTTTTAGAATGATTATTTGCTGATTTACTTACGGCCATCATCAGTTTGGTGTCGCTGCTGAAAGTGAACCACAGTGAAATAAACTAATAGTTCAGCAGAAGAAAAACCTCCTGAACGCTTCACTAACTGAACTACACACACATCAACATCAAACACATCAACTCACTGCAGAAACTCACTGACTTCACCAGCTTTATTAAGATCATCATTACTGAATTACTAACTGAATATGTTCATATCATGAGAGACTCACAACTCAACTCAAACTCAGTTATTCAGTGACTGACAGAGACTTGCGTGTGTGTGATGATCCTTGTTACGTTCCACGTGTATTTGTGTGTGTGTGTTTCTGTTCTGTCTCCATTCATTACTTTCAGGTGGTGACCGAGCATTGGCTGTTTGCGGGCACGTGACGTCATTGTGGGGGCGTCATCATCTGTTCGACCAATCCATTGCTGTGCCATGAGTTTAAAAGGCCCATCCACAACTAGGAAGACAGATGGTCGACAGGGGGCGGGAGACGGCTGAGGTTTCCGTTTCCGGAAGACACGGCGGTGGCGGTTTGTTTGTATCTCCAAGAGATATTTTCTTTGCTTTTTTCTTTTGTTGTTTGTTTTGGTTTGTTTTGTTTATTTTTATTTGGCGGTTTGGCATAATCTGATTTGTGACTGGGTCTGGATAGTATAATGGAGGAAGATGATGAGAGTGGGGATTGGTTAAAAGGTCAAGAAGATTGGAAAAATCAAGGTTATGTAATCGGTAGAGGGAGAGGAGGAAATTATACTAGGTCTAATGGGGCTGAGGGAATGGGGAAAGGACCATCGAAGAGGAGTATTGAAGATGTATCTGATGAAGTAGGTAGAGATGTGAGAAGGAAGGTAAGTCAGGAAGATGATTTGAAAGTAATCGTTAAATTTAAAGAGGGGCATGATATAAACGAAATTGGTTTGTTTACATTGACGAGTGGATTGAAAAAGGTAGTAGGAGACATAGAAATGGCAAAAGTGTTACGAGATGGCAGATTACTAATTAAATGCAGGAACATTGAGCAAAGAGAGAAGGCTGAGAGATTACAGTCGGTGTGTAAGAAAGAAGTGAGTGAAGTACGAAGGTTTGTAGGTATAAGAACAAAGGGAGTGATCACAGGTATACCGATTGGGGAAAAATTAGACGATCTTAAAAAGAACATTAAGGGAGGAACTGTAGTGGACATAAAAAGACTTAAAGCAAACCGTAATGGAGAGAAAGTAGATAGCACTACAGTACTTTTGGAGTTCAAGGAGCAAGTGTTGCCAGATAAAGTGATGGTGGGCTATTTGAGTTTCAGGGTGCGGGAGTACATCCCTCCACCAACTCGATGCTATAAATGCCAAAGGATTGGTCATATAGCAAATGTATGCAAAGGGAAATTAAGATGTGGGAAGTGCGGAGGAGAGCATGAATATGGGAAATGTGGAGAGGGGGTTGAGAGGAGATGTTGTAACTGTGGTGGGGATCATACGGCTGCGTATGGGGGATGTCCTGTAAGCAAAAGGGCAGTGGTGGTACAACAGATACGGACAACAAAAAAAATTACATATGCTGAGGCGGTAAAGGTCGTCAATATGGAAAGGAAAGAGACACAGGAGATAAATGCAACACAAGGTGGTGCTGAATGCAGAAGGCCAAAGGAGGATGTGTTAAGCTCAGAGAAATTGATACTGTTCATTGCGTACGTGGTTAATTGTTCTGATCAAGCTAAAACGAGAACTGAGAAAATAAAAATAATTGTTAAAGCTGCTGCAAAGTTCTTGAATGTGGATAATTTATCGTGGGAAAAAATACAAGCTGATCTTATGCAGGGTGAAACAAATGATCCATCATTAACACCTCTAAGAACTTATTGATTTTACAGTGGAATGCAAGAAGTCTTATAGCAAATGGGCAGGAGTTAAAAGGTTTTATTAATAATTTAGAGGTTAAGCCAGATGTAATTTGCATTCAGGAGACATGGCTTAAACAGTCATTAGATTTTGTTATAAAGGGGTACATAAGTATAAGAAGGGATAGAGTGGAGGGAAGTGGTGGAGGGTGTGCAACATTTGTTAAAAGAGGGATGCAGTTTAGAGAGGTTAAGAAGGGTGTGGATTTAGAATAAATTGTAATAGAAATATGGACAGATAGTGGTAGTATGGGTATCATTAATTTTTACAATCCATGCAGACAACTAGAAGATGAGAATCTGGATGAAATGTGGGATAACTTAAATGGTAAAGGTATTTGGTGTGGTGATTTTAATGCGCATAGTACTCTTTGGGGGGATAGGGATGATTCTAATGGAAAAGTTATTGAGGAATATTTGGGTGAGAAGGGGCTAGTATGCTTGAATGATGGATCAGGTACGAGAATAGATATAGCTAGGGGATATGAATCTGCAATAGATCTGACTTTGGTTACAAAGACAGTAGCTGATAAATGTAGTTGGGAAGTATTGAGGGAAAGTAATATAGGCAGTGATCATTTTTTAATTACAATTAAGGTAGGAGTGGAGGTGATAAGAGAGAGTGTAATGAGGGAAGGTAGGTGGATGTTAGAAAGAGCTGATTGGGACACATTTAGAGAGTTGAGTGAATACAGATTGGTAGGTGTAAATAAGGATCAAAGTGTTGAGAATTTATGTAGGGAAATCAGCAGTAGTGTAATAGAAGCAGCAGAAGTAGCTGTACCTAAAACAAAGAATAAAAATGTCATCAAAATTGTTCCTTGGTGGACTAAGGATTGCAGTGAGAGTATAAAGCATAGAAATAGAGCCTTTAGAATTTTGAAAAGATCACACAACTTTCAGAAAATGATTGAATATAAAAGATTGCAAGCAATAGTGAGACAGACAATAAGGAAGGCAAAAAAAATATACTGGGAAAAGTTTTGTGAATCTATTGGTAGAACTACACCAATACAACAAGTGTGGGGTATGATAAAGAAAATGAGGGGTAATGGGAGAGAATATGAATATCCAATAATGTTAGATGATAATAGGATTATTACTAATAGCAGGGACAAGGCTGAAGTTATAGCAAAGACATTAGTAAAGGTACATAGTGAAGCAAATTTAGATCAGATAGAAAGGGAAGGAAGAGAAGCTACTAAACTAAGATATAGTGCTGAGTTGGGTAATGATAAGGAGGAAGGTGGTGTGATGGAGGTTCTATTTACAATGAAGGAACTGAATTGTGCTTTGAAGAAGGTGGGGAAATCTACACCAGGGAATGACAAGGTTTGCTATGCAATGATAGGAAATCTAACTGATAAAAGTAAGGAAGTAATATTGGCTCTTTTTAATAAAATATGGGTAGAAGGGGTAATCCCTTGCACTTGGAAGGAGTCAATTATTATTCCTATTAGGAAACCTGGTAAAGACGCTAAATTGCCTAGTAGTTATAGGCCTATTGCACTGACATCTCAGTTGGGTAAGACCATGGAACGAATGGTAAATGATAGATTAGCATTCTATTTAGAAACTAAAAATGCATTGAGGAATTACCAGAGTGGTTTTAGGAAAGGTAGGGGGACTATGGACCCAACTGTGTTACTTGAAGATGACATCAGAAAAGCTCAGGTAAACAAAGAAACAGTTTTAGCTTTATTTTTTGATATAGAGAAAGCATACGACATGATGTGGAAGGAGGGGCTTCTTATCAAATTATATCAGTTGGGAGTAAAGGGGAGAGTGTTAGTGTGGGTAAAATCCTTTTTATCTGGGAGGAAAATTAGAGTTAAAGTAAATGGGGTTTTGAGTGAAGTGTATGAGGTAGACAATGGTACTCCTCAAGGGAGTATTATTAGCCCATTATTTTTTTCAGTAATGATAAATGAGATATTTATAAATGTAGAAAGGTCTATTGGTGTAGCTTTATTTGCAGATGATGGAGCAATGTGGAAAAGGGGAAGAAATATCAATCACATTGTAAATAAGATACAACAAGCAGTGGATACAGTACACACATGGACAATTGAATGGGGATTTAGGATATCTGTGGAAAAAACTAAGGTCATTTTCTTCACAAGGAAGAAAATAAGTCAGGAGTTACAGATTCAAATATCAGGTAAGGAATTGGAAAGAGTAGAGAGCTTTAAATATCTAGGTATATGGTTTGACAAAAGATTAACATGGGCAGTTCATATTCAGAAGATGGTAGAAAAGTGTAAAAAGGTATTGAATGTAATGAGGTGTTTGCATGGGGTGGAATGGGGTGCAACTAGGAGTGCTATGCATACAATATATACTGGACTGATTAGATCAGTTTTTGATTATGGGTGTGTTGTATATGGGTCTGCTGCTAAGACAGCTTTAAATAAACTAGACAGAGTGCAGAGTCGAGGTTTAAGATTATGTTGTGGAGCCATGAAGACAACTCCAGTGGCAGCCATCCAAGTAGAGATGGGGGAGTTGCCTTTAGATCTCAGAAGAGACCAGCTTAGCCTGGTTTTTTGGGCAAACCTTAAAGGTCATAGGGAAGACCATTTGAGTCAATCTACATTGGTAGAGTGTCAAGAGAGACAGAATGGTAGAAAAAGTAGTTTTGGGTGGACTATTGGACAGAAAATAAATGAGATGGAAATAGCCTTGTTGGATATAAGTCCCACAGTAGTATTTTCAAGAGTTCCTTTATGGACTCTTGAAGATCTTTCAGTTGATCTCAGTCTTTTGGAGGAAACTAAGAATGGGGATATAGATAGTAATATGGTGCAGGGGTATTTAGTTGAAAGATATGGGGATAGGATTATAATGTACACAGATGGGTCCAAAAGGGATGGGAGAGTGGGGGTGGCTTTTGTTATTCCAAAATTAAAAGTAGCAACACAAAAAAGAATTAATGATAATTTAGCAGTCTATACAGCAGAACTAATTGCTATTTTAATGGCACTCTCTTGGGCTGTGAGTAACAGGCCAAGAAGTTTAGTAATTGCTTCAGACTCAGCGTCAGCTCTGATGAGTATTCAGAACATAAATTCACAATCTAGACAAGACATTGTTGTAGAAATTGTCCAAATGGCTAGTACATTAATTAAAACTGGAGTCAATGTTGGACTTGTATGGGTTCCTGCCCACAAAGGAGTAATAGGGAATGAGTTGGCTGATAAGTATGCAAAAAAGGCAACAGAAATGGAGTATATAAGTTTAAGCATTAAGTATAGTAAAGAAGAGGTGAAATCAATCATTAAAAGAAAGATAAAGGAGAAGTGGCAAGTGTTGTGGGATAATGGTCAGACTGGTAGGAGACTATATAATATCCAAAAAAGAGTGGGGGTGAGTAGAAGTACTTGCAGAAATACACAGGAGGAGAACATCATTTCAAGAATGAGACTTGGGCATACAGGCTTAAACAGTACATTATTTTTAATGGAAAAACATGCTGATGGGAGGTGTAGTGTATGTAACACACAGGATACCATAGAACATGCTATTGAAGAATGTACTAGATATAGTAATGAGAGACAACAGTTAATCCAGCAGCTAGAAGATGAAGAGATACCTTTGAAAGTAAGAGATATTTTGCTAAGGAATTCGGGAGATTTTTGTTTTGGGTTTTTATTTTCCTTTTTTAGAAGAACAGGTTTAATAAAGATAATTTAAGTGTAGGGAAATAATTTATCCAGACCTACACTCCATTTCAGAAGGTGGCGGTAATGCAACCAGACGTTATTTGCCAACCGCCATAAAAACAATAAGAAGAAGAAAGAAGAAGGAAGACAGATCCTCGCCAGATCTCACCCAACTTGCGTGTTCTGAGCACATTGTCGAAACCACTACCACGATTCACGCTTATTGTCTTTATTGTTGTTGATTTGAGTAAATGCTTTTGCCTGACCTGCGTTTTAGTAAGACACTAAGAGATGCCTAGCCGATCCGCTTACATCTGGAGCATTGAGTTCTCTGTTGCGAAATCATATGACGGGAGGTAGGAATCATTGTTGTGTTAGGTATGCGTGGAGTGTTCGCCATTCTTGTATTTCTGTTTTTATTTAGTGTAGTTTAATTAAGGTGGCGTATTCCGCTGAAGAACTCGGTTTTGTTTCTATTTTTCTTTTGTGGCAGTTAGTTTAACGGGTACACTTAAAATTAGATATCAGTTATGTTTTGCTTATTTCGATAATTTGGCGACACTCTTGTCTGTCTTTGTTTTCTCGTGTATTATTTTTCTTTCTGAACAATCTTGTTATTTAATTTAGGTGAACATGTTTAAAGCTTTTCCATTCAAAGAGAATAAACGTTTCCTCTTAACGTTTAATTGAAGTTTCTTGGTTGTTCTTCCTGCATCCACACAAAGCAACAGTGTCTCACATAAATGTTATGTAATCATCCCCTTATACATCTTTAAACACGTAACAATCCTCATGTCTGTTCATAAACTGCAGGAACACACATGGATTTGGTGTAAAATTTGGGGATTAACAGAAACGTTTCACTCCAACTACAGTAAAAAATATTCTCAAAGTCTCAAAGCAGATATTTAGATTAATATACTGAAGTTGGTCTTGATGTATTCAGAATTTAATGATACAATTTTTAACAATTTGGCTATTAGAAGATTGAATATTATAAATAAGACTGATTTAACTAGATGTTCTCACTTCAGTAATTGTGTTTTGTGTGTTAATAATACCCCTTTTCCACCAAAAACGAACTGGTTCGGAACTGGTGCTGGTTCAAAGTTGGTTCGGAGTTGGTTCAACTTGCGAACCTTCTCAGAACCTGTTTGTTTTTCCACTGACTAGAGCGCCCAGCGAACGACGTCGTTACGTCACTGTGTACGTCGCCATACATTTTAGCTAGAAACGCTTGCAAGTACAACATTACTTTGGGATTATCTCTAACTCGTGAACCAAGAAGGCTTTAAAAACAATTGAAATATGTAAGTCTTTTAATCTTTTCCTTTGATATGTAATCTTTTCTGATTAGTTATGTACTCCTGTCTTGTGTATTTTTTTTTTCTTTCCATTTATTTGTTCTATATTGTGACTGTTTTCTCCTTTGTTTACATAACGTTTTCAATAAAAAAAATTGATAAAAAAAACTAGAAACGCTTGCGCCAACTTCAAGCATAACAATTACAATGGCGGACTACATCGTGTTTCTGCAAATGTTTCTCCTGGCTTTGCGATCCTATTATGTCAGAAAATATGTTATCTAAACCCGCCCCCAGCCCCCGACGTAAGCATGACGTGGTAAAAGAACGGTTCTAGTCCAGCAAAGAGTTGGTGCCGCTTTGGAACCAGTTTTCCTGGCCGAGAACCGGTTATTTGGCTGTCGAAACACGAAGAACTGTTTCTCGAGTGGGCACCGGCTCCGAACCGGCTCTCAAAATGCGTTGGTGGAAAAGGGGTATAAGTGACTGTCTTCAGGGAAATGATGTGGAGTGTGTTTGCATATTGATCAGATCTTCAGTGTGTGAGAGTGTTTATAGTGCTGTGAGTTTAACACTTCATCACTGACACACACAACAATCTTCATCAACATGACCTTCATCATCATCTTCATCTGGACTCTCACAGCGTTTGCTCAAGGTTTGTGGAGCACAAGTTTGATATCAATTCATTTCTTCAAGTATATTGTCAAAGTTTTGAGTGTATTTTCTTGTTGTGTGTTTCAGAGTGTAGAGGACAGATCACCGTCACTCAGAGTCCCTCAATAACAGCAGAACAACCAGGAGGAACTGTGAATATCAAATGTAAAACCAGCAGAGATGTGTACAATGATGGTTCTGATGATTATTTAGCCTGGTACTTACAGAAACCTGGAGAAGCTCCTAAACTTCTGATTTATTACACAAACACCCTCCAGTCAGGAACTCCATCTAGATTCAGTGGCAGTGGATCTAACAGTGATTTCACTCTGAGCATCAGTGGAGTCCAGACTGAAGATGCTGGACATTATTACTGTCAGAGTTATCATGAGACCGACAGTGGTGATGATGTGTTCACACAGTGATAAAGAGTCGTACAAAAACCTCCGTCAGTCAGAGTCACAGTGACTGAACTGAAACTGCAGCTGCTCAAACACTTTCACACACACACACACACACAAATATAAACTTAATATCAATTTTGTTGCACTTCATTAATATTATTGAAGATAATAAGAATTTTTTTTTATCATATTTTTTCAGATAATTGTTGGTTTATCTATTCTCATATGGTTTTTCATTTATTTTTATAAAGCACGATTATTTTTCCAACTTAATCATACACTCATACTGTAAAGTGAATCATAAACATGTTGTTGCTTGAATAGTTTATTCTGGAATACAGTAATATATGTTCCAGAGTGGAAACTGTTCATTGTGTGGAAACTTCACTGTAATTTTTACAAGTTAAAATACTGCTGTTTTACTGATATCATTGTTTATTTGGGCGATACGACATTTAAGGAGATTTAGGATACAGCTGATTTTATTTCATTTTAATATGTGGATAGTTTACTGCAACTATGAAATATGGAATACCTTTCCTATGTATTTTATAGGCGCATTGCACGCTGTGAATTAGTTTGTGAAATTCAATTAAAAATGCATTGTGAATTAGAAAGAAATCTTTCTTGAAAATAATCCAAAACCTATGAATCGTGAATTGAATCAGATCACCATCTACCCAAAGATTTACACCTCTAGTCACACACGTGTCCACCAGTGAAGAGTCTCATTACGTTATATTAATCATATACAACTACCACTCAAACTTCATAACTGTCTCATCCCTCCATCAGCAGAAGTGAAACTGTTCCAGTTCAGAGCGTTGAACCAGTAAAAGAGTGAAACTGTGAGTTTGAGCTGAAAATCTCATTTGCATTGTCAGGTTTAGTGATTGTGATGTCTCAGAATAGAGCAGCTCGTCTCCAGTGACCATGTTCAAACCCCAAGAGCTTCATTTGACATTTACTGCTGAATGCAGCTGTTCTCAACTATTACAATTAGGGGTGTAACGACACCTCCATACATATCACGATACTGAACTCACAGTATTATTGCGATACTCCATCAAAATGGTAAATTTGGTTTAACAATGTGTGTGTAAATGAATAGTCTTGGACTCGGTGCTGGAAACCCAAAGCACAGGACAATAGAGACACCAGAATAACAATATTCATGATTCTGAAGCTGAAAATACAGAATATGCTTGCGTTCTGTCACTGACTATATTTAAAATAATGTAGGCCACTTTTTACTGGTAACATCAGACATCATCAGGACCCACAAATATTCCCATTATTATACATTATATTCAACATTATATACAGTAGTTTACTGTAGTAGTGACACGAACATTTTTTAAGACAGTAATTTTCATTCTGGGTGAACGATACGATACATTACATATTGATGCGTTTTTGTATTGCGATATATTGTGACATTTTCTATTGTTACACCCCTAATTACAATCAATCAAGCGCAGCTGAAACTTTAGTGCAGGACTTTGAAGGAACGACACACTGATCAATGATGCAGTCACACACACATGTAAGCTTGCGTTCAGATGAAGCTTTATTGAATGAACAGCAATGGCAGCACATTGACAGACTGCTTCAGTATTGAGCTGTAAATCACGTGCCGCTCTGATACGCTGGTCTTCACTGGAGAAACATCAGCACTCGGAGCTCTTGAGGAACGAGGCCTCGTGAGCAGCTCCGGCATGTGTTCCTCTGCAGACCAAGCGCTCTCTGCCTTCCCAGCGTGCTTTGCTGAGGCTCAGGACGCTGCTGCGACTGTAGAGACCGCCCCGCTCGCTCTCTGCGCTGGTCTGAACCCCCTCGGTGACCTCTGACCCGTCCAGCGTCCAGCTCACCGTCGCCCCCTGTGGAGAGTAAGAGCTGAGCAGGCAGAGCAGAGCGGAGGAGTCTCCAGAGACCAGCAGAGACACGGAGGGAGACACGGAGGGCCCGGCTGGAACACACACACACACACACATTCATGGAGGAATCACCATCATTTCACGTCAAATATACAACTTTTAATGATCCCCAGAATGATTTTGAAAAACATTGTCCAAGTAAATTGATGATTATATTTTGATGTCTTTATAATATCTAGAAAACAAATTTAAATGATAATTTCAATATTATTTTGTATTTTGAAGATAGAAATAGAAATAGAATAGAATATTCTGCTATTCAGACACTCATAAACATAAACATCAGCAAATTTGAACGTTTAAATCGTTTAAATGGATAATTTTCAAAATGCTCTTCAACTAAGTTTCTTTTTGCCTGATGAAAATGATATAAATTATATTTATTTTGTCTGCATTATACAACTTTTGTTTCATGCGTTTAAAAAAGCCCTTAATAGTTACATTTACCAAGAATTATAGACAAAACTTTGAAGAAATAATTTAATAGATTTTAAAGTATCTGCAGTCAATACATGAACTAAATTTGAGCAATAATAAGATGTAAAATTGTTAATGTAAAATGAAAAATTATATTTTAAGACATTTATATGAATTATAAAAAATTTATAAATCATTAAATAAATGAAAAGAATATACTCATTTGAATTTTCTCAGAATTAAGTTACAGAACATTTTAATCTCAATCGGATTTTTTTAAATATTGTCCACACTAAAATGGATTAATACATTGTGATTTATTCATAAGTTTTAGAAAACAAATCATATAAAAATTATATTTTCAGCATTAAGTGTATTTTGAAAAATATTCTTCTATTTTGTTACAATCAATCGTAATTTTTAGCTGATTTTCAATTACATTTTTTATGATCTTCTGTTAAGACACAATCATCAGCAAACGTAATAGTTTAAATTATTGATTTTTAAAATTCTCATTAATAAATTTCTCTTTGTCTGATTGTAATGCAGAAAAAAGCACAATCATTTCATCTTTACTGTAGTTTCACCTCACTGCTTTCATTCATAGACACTGAGTTTAGTTTGAAAATATTCTCCATTTAATCAATATTGACTATTACTGAATGTACACTGTAAAAATTATTGTAATTTTAACAATCAAAGACCAAAATTGCTATGGCAAAAATTATTAATTGTTAAACTGTTTGATCCTTTACTATATACAGTGAAAACTGTAATAGATTTAATTGGACATTTCATGTAATTTTACAGTAAAAATAACAGGTCTGGCAAACAAAGCTGCCTTTACCGATGTTAAATGTTAACGATTTTTTATAATGTATCAAGTTTAAGATATATGCTCGCATAAATAGAAATACGTTTTCTGAAGCAAATTTTGACAAAAATAAGATTTGAAATGGTAAAGCTTTTTAATAATATGTTTTTGTAATAAATTAAGAATATTGTTGCCAAATGCTGTTAAATAAGATTAAAGCTCCTTTTAAAAAACACACACACATCATAAGTTTTTATTAGATAATTTAAGAAAGACTCACAGGTTCTGATCGTCAGTTTAGTTCCTCCACCGAAAGTCCACCACAGTGTTTCATTCTAGTGAAAGCGTCGTACAAAAACCTCCGTCACACTCAAATGAACACACACGCACACACACACACACACACACACACTGATATGAGACTGATATAATTCATCATGATTATTGAACTGAAGTGACTTTCACAGAAACAGCCTCATCGTCTCTAAATGTCTCTTAATGCATGAAAACTATTCAATCTAAATAAATAATATAATCAGAAAGACTCTGATCATTACACATTAACTGAGAGTTTCTAAATGATCGTGTGTTTCTCAAAGCATTTGAATAAGTTTTGATGACCTTTGACCTCTGGAATGACCTTTGACCTCTCATGGAGTTCACAGTGAAATACTCGTTTCTTTTAGTGATGAAACTCTGTCACTCGATTCATCAGAAAGTCTGAACTCTGAACCAGAGACTCATGCAGAATCAAGAAGAAATGATTTCTAAACTTGTAAAGAAGTGAAAACACACTCATTGATCATGAGAATAAAACACATTAAAGGCATAAACTGGATCAGTTTCGTCTGCATGTTCATGTTCATGTGTGTTTTCCTCCAGCTGGTTTTTGCTCAGAGAGTCACTTTGCATCGGCACGTGTTTCAGCTCTCCGAGTGTTTATAGCCTTCAGACTCACACACTTTATAACACACGGCTGTTTACCACGGTACAAACCCAACACACACCATGAATCTCTTCAGCGGCTTCATCTGGATTCTGACAGCTTTTATTCCAGGTAACAGAAGTCAAAGCTCGTCATTTCTGAGTCTTTAATGTTCATTTCATTTGATGAAACTCATATAATGTTGTTGTCGACAGCATCCAGAGGAATCACTGTGACTCAGCCTGAAGTTGTGACTGTTTCTGAAGGACAAGAAGCCACTATAGAGTGTAAAACTGATGCCGGGATAGATGGCTGGGGTTTAGCTTGGTATCAGCAGAAACACGGAGAAGCTCCTAAACTCATCATTTATTCTGTAAATGACCTCTATGATAACAGTTTCAGTCGATTCAGTGGGAAAGGAGCAAAAGGAGGAACAGATTTCACTCTGACCATCAGTGGAGTCCAGACTGAAGATGCTGGACATTATTACTGTACGAGTCGTCACTTGATCAACAGTAAATATGTGTTCACACAGTGATAAAGAGTCGTACAAAAACCTCCGTCAGTCAGAGTCACAGTGACTGAACTGAAACTGCAGCTGCTCAACACACACACACACACACACACACACACACACACACACACACACACACACACACACACACACACACACCAGAAGAAACGACTCAATATGATCTTATTGAACATCATTTTGTTGAGATTGATCAGTTTTTAACATTTCTATTGTGATTTTTCAGAAGTCATATTTCTCCTGTTTCTATTACATCCTTCATGTAGAAATTCAGTCACTTTTGATTTTCTCTTCAGTGGATATTCTTCAATCCTTCACCACATTTTTGATTTTCTGCATTTATGATTTCATATATTCTTCTTTCTAAACTGCATCATCAGCATCTTAATATATGTTGAACAGTTTAATAAGTCGATGGATTTATTAAATTAATCCCTCATAATGCAGATATTAACAGCA